GGGCGGAGCCGGGTCCTTCTTCTCGACAGCGGCTTTCCCAGTAGCCACCGCCTTGCCGCGCGCCTTGCCCCTGGCAGGCGTAGAAGAACCGACACCACTTCCACCAGCCATTAAAGAAAAGAAGATTTGGGAAGGAGAAAAAGAAGATTTGGGGAAAAGAAAAGAAAAACTGTAGAAAGGAAGTACCTGGTACTCTTCCTCACAAAACAACCCTAATAATGACGGGGTTACCGGAAACGACGGCGAAAACTGTGAAAATAGTGACGAAGACTGGACGGAAGCGAAGGTGCACAAAGCAGCTTGCACAAGAAGCCAAGGGAGAAAGAAAATGAAAAGAGTAAAGTGAAAGGCGAAGAGGCGCGAGTGAGAGAAAATAAGGTTTTCCCCCAAATTCAAAACGGTCACGCCACGTGTCAGCCAAGGGGCACGTCTGACGACACATTACTGGAGAACCATCATTACATAACCGTCACTTCCATTAACGCGCCACTTGCACGTTTTCGGAAGCGACCAGTTATGACACGTGGCATCGCAACAAGCAGGCGTACGCGAAAGGTCGCACCCACTTGACGAGCTCGGTCTTAACTCCGAAGACCTACGGTCTTCGGAGCTCGGGGGGCTAGTGTACTATCCGTACTCCAAAGCCGAGCTCCGAGCTCGGTACCACAGCACGAGCTGACCTCGGACACGCGCTACGTGGCGTCAGCTCGGCATTTAAATAGATCGTAACCGATCTCAGGGAATCTCGGTCTAGGCAAGATTCTCTACCTAATCAAATCACAACTAATCTCAGGCCCAAAGCCCAACGCAACCCTAATATACATCAAGGTTTTTTCTGACAAGTTGCTGTCTACTTTAGATGTGCTTGAATTGGTAAAACTGCGCACTTGGAAATGGTTAAAAGCAAGAGATAATTCTTTTTTCATACTCATTTTCTTCTTGGGCCGAGTCCCCTTTCGTATGCCTTAATTTTTATTAAGTGATTTTGTTGGTGATTATTGCTATCTGGGTGTGTGATTCTAACTTAGTTCCGACAATGCTTTTGACAATGCTGATTGGCTTCACTTTGTAGTTGATAGTCTTTTTTTGGATTGCTAGTTTGGT